ATGAGAAGGTACAGAATAGAAGTGTTGGGAATCTGCGAGAGCAGATGGAACGGAACTGGAAGGTGCCAACTACCTACTGGAGAGACAGTAATCTATTTTGGCCACCCAGAGGACAACCACGAGCACACCGAGGGAGTGGCCATCATGATGTCACCAACAGCAGCCAAAGCTCTCATGCAGTGGGAACCAATCTCCTCCAGGATAATGACAGCCAGGTTCAACTCAAAAGGAAGGAAAGTTACAGTCATTCAATGCTATGCGCCTACAAACGTCTCAGAACAAGAGAAGAAGGAGGCGTTCTACAGACAACTACAAGCAATAATGGACAACGTCCCAAATGGCGATATCAAAATCCTGATGGGCGACATGAATGCGAAGCTGGGACGAGACAACACAGGAAGAGAACTCACCATGGGTCGTGAGGCCCTCGGCGAAATGAACGACAATGGTGAACTCTTCTCAGACTTCTGCGCCTTCAATGATTTGGTGATTGGCGGTAGTGTGTTCAAACACAAGGATATACACAAGACGACATGGATTTCACCAGATGGAAACACCAAGAACCAAATAGACTTCATCTCAATTTCAAGAAAGTGGAGACGGAGCCTACTGGACACAAGGTCAAGGAGAGGAGCAGATGTGGGTTCAGACCACTATCTAGTACAAGGGACTTTCAAGGTGAAACTAAAAGCCTCGAGGATAGCTGGGGATAGGCCACAATGCAAGTTCAACACTCAGAAACTGAAGGACACAACCACAAAAGACACTTTCACTGCAACTGTCAGAGCAAAGCAGGAAACACTACGCGACATCACTGAAGAATCATGCGTGGAAGAACATTGGAAGTCTCTGAAGGCGATTCTCAACGAAACGTGTTCAACGGTTCTAGGAAGAAAGAAGAGACAAGACAAGGAATGGCTCTCAACGGACACTTGGAAATTAATAGAAGAGAGGAGAATGGTGAAAGAGAAAATGATTCAATGCAAGGACGGACAGGAGAAGGAGACACTGAGCTCAACTTACAAAGCATTGGACAAAGAAGTGAAGAAAAGTGCTAGGAAGGACAAAAGACGATTCTACGACAACCTCGCCACTGAAGCTGAGAAGGCAGCAGGCAAAAGGGACCTGAGGACACTATATCAGATAACCAAATCTCTATCCGGGAAGAGACCAACACAAGCGAAACCTATAAAAGACAGCCAAGGGAACCCAATTACCAAGGAAGAAAAACAGATTAAACAATGGGCGGATCACTTCAAAGGACTCTTGAAAAGACCACCACCTGCAACCCGTCCAGAAATACCAACAACAGCGCGCACACAACTGCAAGTTGACACCAATCCCCCAACGAGAGCTGAAGTCTTGTCTGTCTGTCTGTCTGGATTCAACATAGAACTTGGCACCGAAGTGCAGCAGTTCGAGTTGCCACCTTCCAAATAGCACAGAGGTAGACAAGAAGATGAGTGAAGAGAATTTATAGAGTTTGACAGATATAAGAGTGAAACAGAATGGGTAATGGTAGAAAGGAATATGAAAGATTACAGAGATTGAATACATCTGCGCCATTGACAACGATTTTGAGCCATGTCACCTATTGTCTCCAGCCATTGATTCCTAGAGTCCCGAGGGCCCCAACCCGGGAGTCTGCATCTCCCTACCTGACTCAGTTTAACTGTCAAGGATTTCATGGATTGATGCCATGTTTTTGTTTGGCCACCACTGGCTCTTTTCCAACCTGAACCTATATCAGCTAACAATGCCCGTCGGGGGAGGCGGTGGTTAGGCATGCGCAGCACGTGACCTAGCCATCTTAGTCTATGTAACTTTATAACCTCGTCGATTGATTTTCCCTGTTTGCCCAACACTCTACGCCTAACGTCAACATTACTTATCTTGTGAAACCACCTAACGTGAGACAGAGATCGCAGACATCTATGATCGAAAGCAGTCAACCTTTTCATGTCTTCGACGCGTATTGGCCATGTTTCAGAGCCATAGAGAAGGATGGAGCGAACTGATGAGCAGTACACACGTCCCTTGGTTGATAACCGGATGTCACGCCTACGCCAGAGATGGTGTAAGTCAGCGAAAGCAGCTCGAGCTTTTCGGATCCGTGCTGAGATTTCATCGCCAATCAGTCCGTTGGTGCTAATACAACTTCCCAAGTAGGTGAAGTGGTCAACATGTTCTATCACTTCACTCCCTATCACTAAGCTAGGAGTTGACGTAGTCCAGTCCTGTAGCAGCATCTTACATTTTGTAGGGGCGAATCGCATGCCAAACATACGAAGATTGCTGCTCAAGGTGTTCAGAAGACTCTGCATTTTGTCAGAATCCTCCCCTAACAGGACTATGTCATCTGCATATTCTAAGTCCATAAGATTATTCCCTGGTAACAAGTCGATTCCTGAGTCACTACGTTCAGTTAAGGATACTTCCATTAGCATATCTATGATGAAGTTAAACAGAAATGGGGAAAGTGGACATCCCTGTCGGACACCACTGGTTGTTACCAATTCAGACGACAATTCCCCATAAGCCCTTATGGGGAAGTCTTGAACGCAATCAAGCTTCTGAAAGCGGGAAAAGCAGCCGGACCAGATGGAATACCCCCTGAAGCACTGAAAGCGGACCCAGAGACGACAGCGAACATGCTTACTCCATTATTGCAAAAGGTCTGGAAGGAGGGAAAGGTGCCTACTGACTGCAAGAAAGGTTATCTCGTGAAACTACCAAAGAAAGGGACTTAGGACTCTGCAAGAACTGGGGAGGAATCATCCTCCCATCGACGCCAAGTAAAATCCTGAGTCGCATCATCCTGGAGAGAAGAGAGAGCAGACAGAGATATCCTGGACCGACGTGAAGAAACTATAAGACCTTGATTTCGCGCTTGGATGATTTATGTTAGATGTCACACAAAATCGAAGACTTATAAGCGAAAACCGACAAACTGGTCGAAGAAGCAGCCGGCGAAGAAAGGACTCCACGTGGACATATACAAGACGGAGGTTATGAATATAACTAACCAACAACAACAGCACCAACATCCAGAGCCTATCAACATCAACGGGAGGGATTTGAAAGAGGTTACTTCATTCACTTATCCAGCATTGAGCATCGTCTTGACTACAGGAGGAGCGGACGAGGATGTCAAATCGAGCGAGAATGGGGAAGGCGAGAAACACATTCATCAACCTGTAATCAATCTGGAAATCTTCGTCACTCAGCCACCATCCACAACAAAATTCGGTCGGATTTTCAATACAAACGTCAGGTCAGTCAGTTCTTCTATACGGATGAGAAACTTGGCGGGTGGGTCACAGAGAATATTTCCAACAGCCTGTTGCAGACCTTTATCAACCAACAACTGTCTTCACTGGCTCTATACTGAAGATCAGATGACCGGGTCGGAAAGAATCACCAACAAGTGACTATGGGAACAAACAATGTAAGAACCAATCGCCCAACAAATATGCAGGAGAAAGTGGAGATGGATGGATCGGACACTCGCTGAGGAGGTCGCTGGGTGACATTGCGCATCAAGCCCTGGAGTGGAACCCGAAAGGGAAGCGGCGTGTGAGACGCCCAAGGGTGACATGGAGGATATCGTGTGAAGAGAGAGGAGTTGAAACAGTATGGACTAACATGGGTGGATGCAGGTGAAAAGTACAGCAGAAGGAAGACAGAAGTGGCAAGTGGAGACGTGTAGTTGAAGCCCTATGTTCCACTAGGAACCCAAGGGAACAATAATAATAATAATAATAGTAATGATAATTACAATGCATAGATTGGGTTTTAAGATTACTGACATTCCCTTTTCCTAATTTTTTACACTACAAAATAAAGTGAGACATCATGTCATCTATATTCTTAAAATGCATAAACACCCATTTTATGCAGACTTATCGGTGAAAAATTGCTTCATCTTAATTTCTATTGACAATTCAGCTAAAGGTCATCTTCGAAGAAAGTGTTGGCTAGAAGTATGCAAAGATTGATTTTCCCTTGAACTTAATATTTGACCTTCAATATTGTTACTAATTAAGCTGTGACTTCATCATGTGTGGATGACAGAACGAAGATGTATGATTAAAAGCCTCTAATCTCCGCGTGATCTACCTTCTGTCGTTATTTTTCATAGCGATGAAGTAAAGAAAGGCAAGCTACTGTACACTACACATGCCAAAAATAATGCTTTGACCTAAGATCATACAAGTTGGCGAATGTGAAGCGATAAGGAAAGCGAAATCCTAGTACTTTAAGGCACAACAGATTAAAATTGGGTTTTTCACAAAAAAATTGTTTACTGATGGTTTAATAACTGTCAATTTAGTTATTAGGTAGTCTAGAAGGACCAAATTAGACCATTTAGGCATATGTGATACTTAAAAATACTCTTAGACGTGCTGCTCATTGTTCCACTATCTTTCAGCTTAAAGTTACTCAGCAATTCGAAGAAAGTACATGTCATGATAATGTATATATAGGAGTAAAATTGCCAGCAAATTTGATTTTATTAAGCTATAATGAAAAGTTTTTGACTACCAAAGTATTACACTTCTTGTCTGCTGAAGAGTTGAATGGTCCTGAGTAAACACCCCTTCTTAATTACAGAAAATGGGTTACAAGCTTTCTAGAAATATTCTCATTATATACGGTATGGCGTTAAAAATACCTGGGTTGAATGCCTATTCCACAAATCTGAACAGTAACCTAAAAAATCCTATAATACTTGTATATACCTGCATATCCGATAACCACAGAGAAATGAGAAACAAACAAAATCATTACGGAATAAAGTATCACCTGATGGAGTCTTCACAAATGGATTATCCCTGAAAAAAATTCAAAATGAGCTAAAAAATTACATAAATTACGAAAGCTTTAAGTAACTGTGACTGCAAACACATATTTCTATTTCCTTATAGTGAATCGCTTTTAATGCCAACAAACAAAACAAATGTAATAAAATACTTTGGTGAAAACAATGAAATACTTACACGAACTAGTCGAATTCTATGATCCCGAGTGATTCCATAATCCAGATTTCCATATCCTGTCACTTGGCTAGCATTAACAGGTCCTGGATGATTCAATTTGTCAATACAGTTTTGCAGTCTGTCAATAAGAACTGAAAACTCCTTTCCAGTTTTGTAAAGATAATCCTCATCCAAATTTCCTACATGTTCATATGAAACAATATCCGTATTTAAGTCTGTAACATCTAGATGTGGAACTTCTGGCAGGTGGTGGTTGTCGAAATTATTATTTTCGGTTATATTAGCCTCTGGTGAGTTGATTTCATTCACTAATATCAAAGAAGTAATATTTGCAATGAATTTTCTACCTTTCAGAATGGCATCCACATCCTTAAGAGCTGATTCGAGAATTCGACTAGCCTCCAGATTACTCATCGAAAACACATATCCAGCGACTCGCAGTCAAATAGACGCGGTACCAATTTTACACAAACTGACACAGTATAACAAAAAGGATAAACTGTATTTTAAAATGAAATATGCAGTGAAAGTTTCGTCTCCCAACATCCTTATTTTCTGGAATTGTAGGATTTCGTCAAAGTATTACGAGTTTTAAGCGATAATCACCCAGCATATATATGTTCACTGACAAATATCTTTTGTAGTAAGCTTATATAGAACATTTGATTGCTTAGGGCTTCAGTAAGGATTTTTCTGATATTCACAGAGCTCTGATAGATTCCTGTCATACAATCGGCTGCAATGTCCGACCACATATGTGAAAATCACTTAACTAACTGTAGTGGCATCTTGTTCATAAGGATATGAAACACGAGGAAATCACTCTTTTTTGTTTATTTGCCGATGTACTTATGATCAACACTGTTTGTATGATCTATGTTTACATACTCCCTAGTGAACTTTCATTAACCATTCCTCCATGTTTAAAAGTATTAGAAGATGTGCGCTTTCGTTATGAAGATGGCTTTATCAGGGAGAGTGCATTAGTGTGCTCTTTGAAAACTAGGTCTACAATTTCGAATTCGGGGAGATATGTACTACGAGCATGAAGATAATCCATGTCTACTTGACGGAGTCAGCTCCAAACAAAATCAAATGAACTTAAAACGCTGGGGAAAAAATTGCAGCCATCCGACAATTTGGGACGAATTTTGGTCCACAGCCCACAGCTTTCAGTGTCCCTTAAAGTGTTGTACATTAAATTACCGTACAGCTGAAGATCTATGAGATGGTTAGAAGATGGAGAATAAATTCTGCCGCCTGTGAACCTTACTTTGAACTAAAGGCTGCAACTATCAACAAAGCCAAAAATATGCCCTACTTCAAATCAAAGTGTTACACATGTTTTTTCATCAAATAACAAGTATTTTTGTACGAAAAGACATAAACCAGTAGTGTTAACTGTGTTCCGTACTGGAATTGATTGAAGTTGGAGTTCAGGGACCTTCTTCTGGATTCTGTTCCGACAGCTGAATGGCAAGTAGGCCCGACCCATAATCTGAAGGTGGTTGGTGTCCAGTTGTCTACTGCTGGAGTGTCAATCTGGGACGAAGTAGCCCCATAGTTTACCTTGGCCTGAAAAGTTACCGTAATCGATACCATCTCGTAATCAGTTAACTCGCGACACTTAGCTCAAACGGGTATGCTTCTTAGGGGACATTAACGTGCACACGCCCACACACAATTGTAGTGAATACTGAGGGGTAATCAAACCCGAGTGTCTCGACTGCAAACCGAAAAACATGCAAACCAAGCATTCAGCATTCTAGTAAGCCAGTAATCAATAAAGGCTTAATGTCAGGAGAAGGCGAAAATTTCTCTATGCCAAAGATGTGCATATATGCATACCTGCGTTTTTCAGGAAGTATGGTGACTTCTAGTGTCAGATTCCAGCCACTCAATGGAGATACAGAATAGTATATTCTCATTTTGTACATGAGGGACGCCAGTTTACAGGCATCATCAGTCTGATAAATTACATATACGATTAGCAATCATACTTATTAATAATGTTTTAATAGAATACACATTTTTTCCTACTTGTGTAGGACACACCAAATATACAGGCATGGATAAGCATTATTTAAATTTCATAAATTCGGTTTATGGTTAAGTTACATGGTTGCTGGCGTTTTTGTCTTAGGTCTGTGGGAACAATATGATAACCAGTCATTCAATGGAGCACGTCATGAAATATAGAAATATTGTCTTCGCATTAACAAAAAAACCCAAGTAAGTTTTGGATGGATTAAAAATACTTGGGAAAAAATAAAGCGTGAAGTAATTCCACAATATAACTTAGGTGTGTACAAATCCGAATCTCATTTTTGATTTATATCCAAATTGGGTAATAAGAAAGCTATTTTTACAGATACGATCAGTTATGTTATAAGTTACAATCGTGACGTTGTATTACAAATTGATACAAAATACTACTTTCCCGAGACCTATTTATAGCTTCAAGGATTACTTTCGGCTATGTATTTAATAAGCGGTTGTGACTGCCTATTCAGGCTACTGCAGTAAGCAGTTCTATGTCGTGGAACATTCTGATGTCATTAGAACATGGCCCTGCCTAATTATGTTCACCCTCTTGGTCGTTAAATAAGCTCTGCCAGATGAAAAATCAAATCAACCTTAATGCCCAATAGTTCTCACAATTCAAAAATGGTTATAGGCTTGCAAATCTTTGAAAACATACTTCAGCTTGGATATTGAGCTTCTTGAGGCTACTGGCAGGAGGATCTATAAATAAATAAATAGATTTATTCTCATAGTGCAGTACATGAGGAACGCCAGTTTACAGGCATCATCAAATTGTTACAGAAACAGAACCGTTTGAACCTGGGTGTCGTGCATACTCGTGCTTGTCAACGAGACGTTTTCGCAACTTTGGATAGACCCAGGGGCCTACACGGATTTGAACCCGCTACACTCAGCATTTTGGTGTGAACTATTCGCGCCCATGTTTGGCCTCATGTAGAACTTCAATGGATACATTGAATAGCCACTAGGGTAAAACCTAGAAAGAGAGTATGGTTCTTGATTTAGGTCCTGACAGGTAGAAATGGACAAAGAGATCACTGAGCTAATCATCGTTTACTATACGACGAGTAAAATTAGACCTCTCCTCCTTAGAGATGTGATTTGTGGGAGGTATAGATATTTCAGCCTCTTCTCTTAAAGGAGAAATGAGATGCCACTGACGTTACTAATCCCCTCGCTTTGTGATCATTCTAAGTTTTCTGCCTCTTTCTTGAAAGATGAGCTAGCCTCCTGTATACAATATTGCATACCGGGACTAAAATATGTTCAGGAGAATACCTGCAATACAAACACAACTGAACGCCCAGGCTAACATCAAAGAGAATGAAATATACGCAGAGCCCCGGTATATCGATTGCCACTCACATGACATTACGTAGCCTGTGCTTCTTTACGCCAAACTTATTGGATGATGAGCTTCCCCTCCATATTGTCAGGGCCAAAAATGCTGTAATTGTAGTAGAAGACGGAACGATCAATTCATGGTTGCTTGCTCAAAACCAACTTCCCCAATTTTCGCGGAGGCATCAATACACCAGTCATCGTCTCATCGGTCGCTGTTCAGAAAGAAGTCAGGAGAAAACCGTCAGAAGTAATATTGTGATTTATTATTGTAATATTTGTTCATAGATCTTAGTTTTAAAGCTTAGTTTTAAAGTTGGCGATATGTTGGTGTTACAATAAAGAATTCTCGAGTCGCCAATCGGTGTTTTGGTTTTTTCGTCCGTTATTACTAAGCGTTTCTGAGAAACTTCAAGGAACAGCGTGAGTCCCAGCGTAGCAAGAGCTGGGCATTGACGGTTTACGAGACGTGGCTGACAGTTTCTGACGATACGGTGTCAGTTTCTGACGGATTCAGACAGTTGGTGACAGTTTGGATAGTCACCGTTCATCTTTCCTGGTGCTGGTCAAGTCCTCTTTGAACAAGCAATATCTGGAACGGTTTTGGAATTGGGTCTAGTTCAACAATGCCTGGGTCAAAGAAGGGACAGAGCGTCTTGGATGCAAACAGGAAAGTAAGTCATTGTGACTTGTCTGTTAATTGTAACGATGTGTCTGATGTTAAACATGACCTGGTTGATGTTACTGTTTCGCCGTTCAGGGATGATAGGAACATCAAACTCCCTAAATTTGAACCACGGTGTTTCGACGGAAACCCAGCTGATTATTTACAGTTTGTAAGAGAATTTGAAATCATGTTGAGTGGTTTTTTATTAAATGATGAAATGAAGTTAATGTATTTGATGAGGTATTGCACTGGAGTTGCTGCAAGAGCAATACAGTGCTGTAAGTTTTATGAAGCCAAAAGAGGGCCACTACGAGGCTATGAGCATACTACATCAAAGGTCTGGAAGACCTTCGATGATTGTACGGAAATTATTCGAAGCTGTTAGGGTAATGGTGGTTAATTACAGGATGACTCCCAGGCACTCACTGAGTTTTTGGATAATTCACTAATTTACAAGAATGCATTGATTTCGATGAATTGCATGAGCGACCTCAACTCGAGTTTTATGCTAGAAGTAATAGCGAGACGCCTACCTACTCGACTGCAAAGGAAGTGGGTGAAGATAAGCTCCCGTATGGAGGATGAGGGTATCGAGCCGAAATTTGATGATATCCTGAAACTAGTAAAAGATAGTGTCAATCTATCTATGAACAAGTTCGCCAGTCTATTACATCTCACCCCTAGAATAGAGCAGTCTGAGGGAAAATCTCAATCATTGATGACGAATAGGCCTCAGAGAGGTGGATATCGAGAAGGCTCCATGATGTCTAGTAATGCATATAGATCTAGTGAGTGTAACAAGTTTCGTAGTACATCCTCAACAGATAAGTTACAAGATGCAAGACAAACACGGTTGTGTTTTACACGTTTGCAAGAGGTGCATACAAAGGTGAACTGTGAACCAGTGAGCAAGTTCGGTGATAAGCTAAATGTGAAATCAAGGTCTGACTCCGAATCCTGTGACGATAATAGCGCGGTGAAGAAGCCTGTAGTTGCAATTAGTAAGCCAGTGTTGAATAGAACGCAACAGAATAGAGTTACTGCTTCAGAGTGCGGTTCTGACTCCACAAGTTTACAAGGTATTACTAGTCAGAGTGTAGGTATGAAATCTTTAGGGATTTGTGAGGAGGAACCCAAATCATCCACTGCGGTTATTAAAGAGTTTGAAAATGATGAAGTCGATCAGATAGATTATGGTAAATTGAGTATTTGTGATAATGATCATGATAGTTCAGATTTGTCTTTGGTTGATCATGATGAAATGAGGGGAATGCCTACTACTGCTAAGTTAAATAAAGGTTCTGTACAACTACAACGTGAAGTAGAATTGAATGCAGATGCAGTTGCAGAAGGTATGGATACTTGTCAAGCCGTCAGTGTAATCGATCACATTGAAGCCCACCTATCATCAGATGAT